CCTATCGGTTCCTATGGCTTCGCTTGGATTGCTGCGGGATCTGATGTAAAGAAACACATAGGAACCCAGGCGGCCACCAGAAAATTGCGGCGAGCAGTGCCGGTTGGGGGAGGGTAAGCTGCTTGAATCCATAGGAGGCCATGGGAACCCATCTGCACGCACTGGAAAGTGCAAGGAACAGACCCAGATCTTTGGAGCCCAGGTAAGCGCCCCTCAGTGCAAGCGCTGCTTTGGGAAAGTATCTCGCCCGAGCGCCTCGCGACAAACTCGGATTCATAAAGGTGAAGCTGAGTCATACTCCCCGCGCCCCCCTCCTCACTTCTCAGCTGCGTGCGTGCCGTATGCCCGTTACCGTCTTGGTCTCAAGGGCGGGGCCGCTGGTTGCCTCGGGACCATGGCGCTCGAGCCGATTGAAGAAGAGGAGGGAAGGGGGCGGGAACTAACCAGCGGGCAGGTCAACACGGGCGCCGACGAGGCGAAGGCAGGCAAGACGGGAGAGAGGGGCGAGGACGGTCTTGTGGCAGGTCTGCCTGCCGACCCCCGCGGTGTTCTGCCGATCGGCAGGGTCCACCTGCCCTCAGTGGGCAGGCTGACACTCACGCCGGACACTTGCGGACCAGATCTGCCGACTGCCTCGACGATCGCGTGGCTCGATGCCAGCGCTGGCCGTGCGCACTATGTCGGTCCGTGCTCTTTCGACGGAGCCGCTCTGGTAACCACGCAGCCGGAGGCGGGGGATCTTCGGCGGCGACGACAAGGGCGAATGGCCCAGGGGCGGGCACTGCACGTGTTCGCCTGAGAGGCTCGCCGAAGGCATGGGTCATCGGTACCCCTGGGCACATGTATTGCTCTCCCCTGGGCTATTGGTACCCCTGGGTGCATGTATTGCTCAAATCCGAGATCGAGCTGGACTTCTGATCGGGCCTCGTTCTTCCTCTCTCCTAGTGCGCCGCACCCGCAGCACCCCCAGACGGTGCCCACATGCGGGCGTGCCCGTTCGTTGTTCGTTCGCTGGGCTATTCGCCCCCCCGTCGTCGGCCCCGAGATTTGTCCATGACCACCGCCCGGGGAGTCGCTCCTCGGGGACCTCGGCAGGCGAGGGGCACGGACGCGTACAGTCGGGGCCCTGAAGAAGGAACCCTTTTCGTTGGGGAGGGGCTCCGCGTTCCTTAAGTGTTTCGCAGCTTGCCTCAGGATTTCTTCAGGTTTTGGATACGAAATCGAAGTTCAACTTATGGACAAAAAGAGGCCTCGTTCCTTATTTGGGGTTCCTTAGGTCAAGACCCTGACTGTATGCTGGCCCCTGGGGGCGCCGGGCGGCGAGCGGCGTCTCCTGGGCCACCGCCTGCCGAAGCCTCCGCAGATCGAGCCCCGGGGCGATGGTCTTGACAGCCCCCGCCCCGCGCGCACGAGCTCGTTGCGCCTCTGCTCCGGCGGCGCGCGGAGCCGGGGATCGCGATGCGCGGGGGGCCCTCTCGGAGAGGCCGCGGGGCTCCTCGGAGCCCCTCCTGCGCCCTTCGAGAGGCCTCGGGAGCCTCCCCCTGGCCCTTCGCAGGGAGCCCCCCCCCCCCCTGGCCTTCGCTCGGGCGGCGCGCCTGGAGGGCGAGAAGGGGCGGGGCCGTCCCCTTCCCAGAAGGCTCGGAAGGCCTCTGTCCTGCTGAGAAGTTCTCGGGGGCTTCCCCGAAGACGCACACAGCTTGTCAGAAGGCCGACGGGCTTCTGAGAAGTCCCGCCGTCTTCGGAGAGGGCCCGCCCCTTCTCACTTTCCCCCCGGGGCGCGCCGCCGGTTCTCAGAAGGCATGGCCCCCTCCAGCCGCGCCCCGTTTTTGGGGCGCCGCAGTCGGGTTCTGGATGCTTAGGTGTGTTCCTCCTCCAGTGGCAGCGGCCTTTTGTCTGAGGCGGCTCGTGTGGGCAGACCCCCACCGCCGCGCTGTTGGAACCATCCGGCCCGCGGCCAAAAAGTGGGAGTAGCAATGTCATGAGGCAGTGATGGAAATCACCTGGAAAGTGGGACCATGGCCAGGTGGGTCGATGGGAATCCAAGTGCAGCCGAGTGCGGGAAAGAAAGCCTGCACGCTGCGCGCGTTCCACCGCTCGCCGCGCTTCTTTTCGGCCAGGCCAAGGATGGCCCGATCCATGTCTCAATGGCATTTATTGTCTGGTCGGCTGGTCCAGTATGACATACAAGGCCGTGGTACGTCTCGAGGGATCTCGATCGCTCCCTCTTCCCATCCTTCCCCTCTAACAGGTACCTGGCATGGGCATTACAAGATTGCGTCCGAGCGCCCTCCGCATTATTTGATGCATATTATCTTTATGTCTACACCACTTATGCTGGCCTCCAGCCAGTGCCGCCGATCCGGGGCTCTCCGGATGATGATGATGATGATGATGATGATGATGATGATGATGATGATGATGATGATGATGATGATGATGATGTTGATGATGATGACGATGATGATGATTCTGATGATGATGATGATGATGATGATGATGATGATGATGATGATGCTGCTGCTGATGATGATGACGATGATGATGCTGATGATGCTGATGATGATGATGATGATGATGATGATGATGATGATGATGATGATGATGATGATGACGGGCCTCCTGGAGGCTTTCTGGGGCCTCCTGGGGGCTTCTTTGGGGCCTCTGGGCCCCCCCGCCCCCGAGCATCAAATGCGTCGGGAATGGCGCCCCCCCCCCCCCCCCCTTCCAGAGCCTCCTGGGGGCTTCTTGGGCCCCCCCCCCTGCCCCCAAGCACAAAATGCGTCGGGAATGGCGTCCCCCCTCCTGCAGAGCGAGGCTTGAGGGAGCTCAAATCCACGCTCTCAGAAACTCACACGCCAGATCGGCGGACATATATATATATATATACACACAGATATGTATACATATATATATGTATATGCACATCTATATATATATATATATATATATATATATTCATCTCTCTCTCTCTTTGTCTGTACTCTATTGATTAGCGTTTTGTTAAGTGTTACGTTGAACTTGAGACGCCTTTGGCAATATTTGCTCAATTAGATGTATACATAGAAACATGTTTATATATATGTGTGTATACGCATATTTTATATGTATATGCAAGTGGCTTGCGCCATTCCGCCGATCGATCGTGGAAGTTATCTAATGGCCTTCGGCCCAACCTGATCGGACAAGAACGGGAAGCGCCGATGGTGTCAATTGGGCTCGCAGAGGGAAAAGACAACATGGACGATTGCGACGACAAGGCGGCGTATGACGAGGAATGGCAGCACGGATGACGCGGAGGGCAGCGAGGGGAGCAGGAGGACAACACAACGAACTTTCCTCCTTAACAAAACACAAGCCTCGTAGGGGGCGTTTTGGAGCCTCCTGGGGACTCTATTGGGCCTCTTGGGGGCAGTTTTTTGCCTTCTTTTGTGCCTCTTGGGGCCTGGGGGCCTCTTGTGGCGGAAGGCTCGAATTGTCGATTCGTGTTCCCCCCCTTTGGCCCTCCTCCTTGGGACCGTCTTGGTGCCCTCTTGGGCCGTCTTGGGGCCCTCTTGCGGGCCTCTTGGGCCATCTTGGGGCAATCTTGGAGTCCTCTTGGGCCAACGTGGGACGTCGGAAGCTCGAAATGGCGACAACCCCACAAACAATGACAAACACACATTGTAAATCATTTAGTTTTGCCTCTCGGGGCCCTCTTGGGAGGGCTCTGGAGTCTCTCTTGGGCATATCGAAGGCTTCTTGGGCGGTCTTGAAACGCTCTTGGGTCGTCTTGGGGCCCTCTTGTGTCTCTCTGGTGCCGTCTGTGGGGTGCTTGGGGTGATCTGTCGCTGTCTTGGAGGCCTCTTGGGCTGTCTTGAGCTCGAAACGGCAATGTTTCCGTGAACCTGATCGGACAAGAACGGGAAGCGCCGCTGTAGTCCAATGGGCTTAGTGGGCACAAGGACGAGGACGATATGAAAGAGGGCGAGTACGAGGAGGAATGCGGAGGACGATGACGACGACGACGGAGGACAGTATGAGGTAATTGTACAAGGACGATGAATCAAGAGAGGGTCCTGGTGACCCTATCGGGCTACCCTGGGGGCTCCTGGCGCCGCGCGGGGTTGTCTTGGGGCCTGTTGGGGGTTCTTTGGGGGGCTCCTGGGTCCTCTTGTGGGCTTCCCCCTGGGACGCCCCCCCGGGACTCCCTCGGCGAAACCCCCCGCACTCCCCCCGGGGGACCCCCCCCTCACGGGGGAGGGATCAAAGGAAAGGGGTTTCCCTTCGACTCGATTGCGAAATCGCTAGATCTCTCTGTCGCTGACAGGCTTGAGGAGGGGGGCGCAGGGAAATGGGGTGACGGCGACGACGACTGACGGAGACGGCGACTCGAACAGACGAGCCCCTCACGCGCCGACAGGGTCGGCTGTTTTATGTGTTTTGTCCATCGTAGCGTCGTCGATGATTCATGATGCTGGCCTTGCAGGAGGAGGGTGAGGAGGTGGATTAGGAGGAGGAGGAGGAGGAGGAGGAGGAGGAGGAGGAGGAGCCGATGGTTGGCCTCATTTCATGATCGAAGTTTTAGCTCTCGTCTTTCAGGACGACGCTCTCGCCCCAGCGCAGGCGACAATTCTGGGTCCGAGTCCTTTCTCGTCGTTGTCGTCCCGGTCCGTTCCCCTCCGCCTTCACCGGGTCCCGCTCCTCCTGCTCCTTCTGCTGCTTTTCCTCCTCGTCCTCCTCCCCCCTCCTCATCCTCATCCTCTTCCTCCTGCTCATCCTCTTGCTCATCCGCCAGTTCCTCCTCTTCCTCCTCCTTCCGTAGCCATTTTGGCTCAAGCCATTTTGGCTCTGGCCTTTCCGTAGGCCCCCTGCTCCTGGACCCTGTCCCTCGGCGCACCCTGCGACCCCAATCCTGCGGGGCAACGCGGCGGGCGTTAGGGATGGGGGGGAGCAGGGCTTTTGGCTCACGAGACATGGCACGGGATGGCGCGGAGTGCGCGCCAAAGCGGCGTTCTGCAGAGGAGCGCAAGGCAGCAAGAGAGTGGGCGCGGCGTTCTACGGACCGAGCGGTCCTGAAGCTCTCGCAGGAGGTACGGCGCCTCCGCGGGCTTGTGTCCGTGGCGGAGGAGGCGCTTGACGCAGTCGCGGGGTGCAGCGAGGTGGCCCAGCGCATGCGGGCGGTTTTGCCCGTGCTGCAGGCCAAACTGGAGGGCCGCGCGCCCACATGGCTGGAGGTGTTGCGGCGGAATGTCGCCATGCACGCCGATGCCAGCGACATTGACGTCTCCATTGCGGGTGCCGCCGCATTGCGCAAGGCCCAGCACGGGCAACGGCTCGAGGTTCGGATCACGCAGGAGATGGAGACGCCCGAGGTCAAGGAGTCGGTCCTATCCGCTGCTGCCGAGCCCTTTGTGCCCTGCGCGTACTTCGAGTGCGACTTTCACGACGGCGACTTCCCCGTTCAGGCCCCTTGGGACAGTCGGTTGGGCTCCTGGACGACACTGTGGTCGTCCCTTCGGATCTCACCGCGGGGCTCTGGGAAGTGTTCGAGCCGTTGCCGCAGGAGCAGGTCGCGGCCGATGGCTCCGAGAAGTTGAGAGAGGAGCCCGTGCTGGAGCTTATGGCGTTACCTCAGGAGCAGGTCTTTCCAGCACTAACGGGTCAGGAGATGGCCCATTCGGGTGTTGATTCAATTTCTGCCATTCCAGAGCAGTTGGGTCTGACGGAGGCCCATGTTGGTTCTGATGTTGCCGCTTCTACTGCAAAGTTCGACCCCGACTTGTGTTCAGGAGTGGATAAACCATCGACGAGGTCAGGCACCCCGAGGACACGACACGGAGGACCTTGAGTCGCTCTCCGTGGTGCAGCGGCGCCTGGCCAATCTCGTGATCGAGTCGTGGAGGCGTGCGAAGGACATCCTCGACTCGCTGCGCGCTGGACGGTGCCCTATCTGTTTGGTTTCGGACCTCCGCCTTCGGAGCGCACCGAGGGGCGGTGTCGCGTGCGAGCTGTGCCACGACAGCATCCATCACACCGACAAGATGGTCCGTTGCGAAGGCTGCCAGGGCGCCGTTCACAGGGCGTGTTTGCAAGAGCAGCTGGACCGTTAG